GTGTGTTAATGGAAGTGATCCCAGATGAAAGCAAACAGCCTTCTTGTGCTAGGAATCCACCTCCAATGCTCTACGGGAGGAAAAGCTGGGGGCAGAGCTAAACAATGGCTCATTTAATGAACACAAGCGTCCCACAGGTTTAGAATCCGAGTAGAGATAATAAACCCTGTAATTAAACGTACACAGAACCTTTTAGTATGAAATCTATTTTTGAAATCTCACTTCAAAACACAGGACACTTGGAACATGTGCTGTCTCAATTTCCTCTCAACTAAAATATATTTTGGCTCCATTTTTTAGGGTTTTTTCCCCTCTCGAGTTCCTGTGCAGCAGATGACTCAGTCATCAACTCTTCAGGGCCATCACTTTGCAGCATTTTGATTAAGTATGCCAAATGTCGTGTAGAGGAAAGAATGGAGACACTGAGCCTGCCAACTTTTGATTGACCATTAAAGCCAATGATATATGTGCCTGTCAAAAGACAGACAATTAAATCAATATTGGAAAAAAGTCGCCTTGACGGCTTGTTTTTATGTAAGCACTGCCAGGATGGATTACCATGCACCATCATGCCCTTGTCAACTTTCAAACCTTTTATTAAAAAAAAAAAAAAAAAAATGTGGTATTTAAAGTTGCAGTACCTCATTCTCTCAGCTTTTTGTTTGTCCACGGAAATATTCCCTGCAACTTTAACTGCAAAAGTTCTGAAGCGGATAGGAGTCATTTTCCGAACACAACTTTCCCTTGTACGTTCGGTGGCAGAAACCCCTCTGGCTGCAGACATGCAGAGACCCCCACAAGCAAATGGGGACTGTTATGGACTCAGCTACATTCTTAGGGGGCTGCCAGTGATGTGGGTGCTCTTTCAGAGGTTTCTTGCTGCACTAATCAAAGTTATTCAAAAAATAAATACTCTCTTTTCTGCTCCCTTTACGGTGTGAAGGCTCAGCAGCCAAGTTCCCTCTGCTTTGGTGAGTATTTCTGTCATGGATCTAATGGAAATTATTAGCTTATGTGACTTGATCATTCATACATGCAATTATTCTTCCTAAAATTTTGAGGAGCCATGATCTCTGCTTTAAATCCTTCCCCAGAAAAAGCATCTATGGAGGCTTGGACCTATGCATATTTCTGAGTGTAACACTAAAAATTATTTAGATTCCTTTCCATCCTGCAACAGTTAAAGAGTCACACTTGTTTAAACATAAAGCACCCTTGTTATTATTTCCCCCACTAAGAGCTTGGGAAGAGTGGATTTACTCTATTATTTCATGATAACTCCTTGGCAAATGGTTCTCCAGAAACAGTGTCCAAGGCTGAGACAAGACTCGAGCAGGCAGCAGAAAACCACGGGGCTGTTCTCAAACCTGCGGTGAGGAATGCACAGCCTCTGACCCACACCAGGGTGTTAGCAGTGGATTAGCAGGTGAGCTCAGCGAAGGATGCTGCAGCTGTAAAACTTCTGAGACAAAATTAAAATGGAGCAGGAAAAGGGGGGAGTGAGAGAGAAAAGTTGCCCAGATAGTGGCTGAGCTGTCAGGAGCATGTGTGTTTCCATGGTGAGTGATTTATTGATGTTTATCAGGAATGAATAGATCAAAGGCTGCCAGATGACAGGCGATCAATCACACATCAAATCAAGGATGGCAACCCTCTAATAAAACAGAAAACAAGGAAAACCAGCTCCTGCCAGTTCCTCCTCCAGAGAAAAATAACTTTTCTGTTAAATCAGACTCTGCCCTATCACTGCCTGATCAAAAGACATCTTCAGAGGTAATAAAAGGGGGAGGGGAGCGAGCAGCCTCTTCCACGGGACCGTCAAGGCTGCTATTTTCCGAGAAACCCTCGGACCACGTTCCTCGCGTCCCAGGCTGGGACCTGATTTCCATGTGTCAGGTTCAGCCGCCCCGCCTGGGGAGGACTTTGCCCGCAGCCGCCGCGCGCTCCGGCCGCCCCGCAGCAACTTCTTTCCCAGCGCGCGCCCCTCCCGCGGCAGCGCGAGGCACCGGCCGGCCCGCGGCCCCGGCCCCCCGGCCTCCCCGGCCCCTCCCGGCGGCTCGCGGCGCCCAGAAGTTTCCGCTCCGCGCGCGGCCCGGGCGGGGGCCCGGCCTCCTCCCCGCTCTGGGCCGCCGCGGCCTCCGGGGGGAGTGTCGCCCGGGCCCCCGCCCGCCCGCGCCCCCCGCGCCCCCCGCGCCCGTCCCCGGCCCGCTCCCCGCGGCGCGGCCGCGCGCAGTACCTGCCGAGCGCCGGGGGGCCTGCTGCTTCCTCCTCGGCATGCTGCTCGGGCCGCCGCAGCCGTCGTCTCAGCCGCCGCCGGAGTTCGCGGGGCGCGGGGACGCGGGGCCCCGGGCGCGGGCGCAACTCCGCGGCGCGCCCAACTTCGGCCTCGTCCCCGCGGGCTCCGGGCTCCGGGCGCGCCGCGGACCGCGGGGAGCCGCTCGCATGGACCGCCGCGCCCGGGGCCGCTCAGGAGGCGGCGGCGGCGGCCGCGCGGGCCGCGTCCCGGCCGCCGGGCTGCGGGCGGAGCGCGCGGGGCCTGGGCGCCGAGCCCGGAGTCATCCCCGGCGCGGGCCGCGGGCGCAGCGGCGGGCGCTCGGAGGGCCGGCCCGCGGCCCGCGCTCCATGCTGCCGCCTCCCGCCGCCGCGCTGCTGCTGCCGGCGGGCGCTGCTCCCGCGCCGCTGCGGGCGCTGCCCGCGCCTTCCTCCGCCGCCGAGAGTCCCGGAGCGCAACTTTCTCGCCCCTCCGCCCTGTCCGGGGGTCGCGGCGAGGGTGCTCAGAGCGCAGCTCGCAGCTTTCTCATTGTGCGCCAGCGAGGCCGACCGGCGGTCCTTCCCTCCTGCACTTAGTCTGGGAGGAGAAAGCAAACAAGACAGAGGAGTGAAGCCCCCGTACACCTCGCGCCGGGGGGAGATGTCAGGCGCTGCTCCACCTTCCGAACAGTCACAGATCAAACAGTGTCACCCCGCCGGAGCGCCACTTGGTACCACTGGGCTTTGCCGCCAGGACCGCCGCCTCTTCCGACGCGAAATCTAATGCGAACACATTTTGATCATGGATTTGGGGCCGGTCTTGATCTTCCAACAGAAAAAATTTTTTTGAAAAATACACACAAAAAAGGCCCCCCCCCGGAAAAAAAAAAAAAAATCCAACAACAACCCGGAGAGTGTGTGCCAAGGGGCGCAGAGCAGACATTCACGGGGTGGGTGAGATGAGCGTGGACTGTCCCCCCCAAACTCCTGGGAGAGAGGGAGATGCACTCTCGCTCTCTGCTCTTTTCAGTGAAATATAACACACATTCCGATCGCAGAGCTTTCAGACAGTCTCAACTGATAGACAGACACATCGAGCTGCTTTTCCTGCTTCAGTTTTTACTCCTCCTCCTCTCGCCCACGTCACCCTGACAATTACAAATAGGTCTCTCACAAACCATACCTGTCAATCTTTTTAATTGCTTTGTTTTCTTTTTTTTTTTTTCCTGGAGCTAAACAATATGACACAAAAAAGAAATCTTAATACATCACAACATAAAAGATTGTACTTTGGAGAAAGACGTGGAGGGTTTGTTATTGTCATCCACTGGCTGATACTGGGTAAAACCATGTGTTCTAAGGCAAGTTAAGTAGACACTAGCAGATTTTTAAACCTGTTAGTAACAACCCTCCCCTCCCCCCCCCAATACATTCATACAACGCACCCACGTGGACATAAACTACCCTTGGATGAAGAATGTCCTACATTTGAGACAAAAATACCTGTGTCACCTTTACAATCTTAGTCTGAGGGTTACATTTCACTGAGGGGAGGGCACTGGGAGGCCTATATATTTTAGTAATTCGTGGGTAAGTGGAAGGCAAGAAGTTTTTAAAATTAAAATGTATATCTTTAATAAAAAATTCAAGATGGACTTAGCTCATCACATAAAAATGTGGAAAATATTTTAATTTGGCCCCTCTATGAAAAGTGAATTGATTATTTGGTCAATACAGACAAGTGAGGAGAAAACCGACAGCTGCGACCGCAGATTTCTCTAGCTGGGTGATCAAATGAGGTCCCCATACATCATTGCAACGTCTCCAATTCAATTCAGTCCCTGGGCATCCCCACCTAGAAGTTTACAATGTTTCTGTGCCCTGGGAATGTGGCCCTCTGGTTCCCAGTATGTGTGTTCTCTCCGAAAGGGAAATCTATAACTGTCTTGTAGAGACTACTTAAAACATTCATGGAAAAACACGAAATCTAGGCCAAAATACACAAAACGGCTTAGTTCGTGCAACTTAAATGGGACAAGCTGAGGGGCAGAGACGCGGGCAAGGAGTTCCGGGGACAGGGCGCCAGGAGCCAGGGGAGCAGGGGGCCCTGGACGCCCCCTCCCCGCCCCTGGCTCGGTGCTCGTAAGCGCCCTTCGGCAGCCAGGGCTCCCCACGCGGCTCGGGGCCCCGGCCGTGCCCCGCCGCCCCGGCCGTGCTCGGGGTTGATTCGTACCACCTTGCAAGGAAGTGAACGCTTCGCACGGGAAGGGGAGGCGCCTGCGCCGGCCGCCGGGCGCCGTGCCTCCGAGAACGCCCTGGGCTGTCGCCGGCTCGGGACCGCGGCAATCGCGGGACGCACGGGTCCCATCGGCTCCCCCCTCGCCCTTTAGAGGAGTCAAATCCGGCTTTTAGAGCGTGGGGAGGGTGGGGATATCCGGTGCCTCCCCGGCGCCGGGAGGAAGGGGGAGGGCGGAGAGGCTCCCTGGCCAGTGTGCGCCGAGCAGATTCAAACCAAAACAAAAAGATTAAAGGAGCAGCTACCGGGGCGGCTGCGGTTCCCCGGCCAGGACCCCGAAGGGTGGCGCGTCCGGGAACCGCGGGGTCTGCGTGGACACCCGGAGCTGCGCGCGGGAGGGGGGAGCGGGCGCCGGGCGTGGAGGGAAAGGGGGGGAGCCGAGGGGAGGGCGCGGGCCGGAGGAGGGGCGGACCCACCGGCTCCGCCCGCGCCGAGCCGAGCCGCGCCGCCCGGGCTGGTCGCGACCTTGGCCTGCGGCGGCGCAGAAAGCAGGCGGAGGCGCGGGCTATGCTGCGGCTGGCGCTCCCCAGAGCGCGAACCATCGTGGACATGTCGTATGCCCGCCACTTCCTGGACTTCCAGGGCTCCGCCATCCCCAGAACCATGCAGAAGCTCGTGGTGACTCGGCTGAGCCCCAACTTCCGCGAGGCCGTCACCCTGCTCCGGAACTGCCCGGTGCCACTCCCCGGGGACGGAGACCTCCTCGTCCGAAACCGGTGAGCCCGGCGCGCGCTCTCGCCCCGGCCCTGCTTCTCCGGGCTGTCCCGGCCGCCTGCGTCTCCAAACCCCGGCGCGCTCGGGCGCACAGCCTGACTTGGCGAGATCCCGGGAAGTTGAACCCGCCGCCATCTGGCGAAGGCGAATGTAACGTGACTTAGGCTGTTGTGAACATCCGATGCCGAAGAACGTCCTCATAACTGGGGGTTATTTTAATTTGGGATTCCCCTCCCCTCCCCCAGCGCTCCCTCCTCCCCCTCCCGCTCCCGAAATAAAACCGACGGGACCCAGAAGCCGAGGCTTCCCGCCCGGCCCACCCGCGCGCACCCAGGGCTCCTGCGTTCACATAGTCTTTAGGGTGGAGCAGGAACAGCCTGGACACACACTGCGACGTTTAGGTAACGTGCTCTGGAGGAAGGAGGCCGGCACACGGCTGGCTTTGCCTGTCCTCCAGGTTGGCAGTCGCCTGGCAGTGGCGGAGCCTGACTTTGAGTGTGTCGGTGTGCACTTCGCCGGTGTCGTCTTCGCGTTGTCAGTGCGGTGTGACTGTTGTTTGTGCCCCGGAGTGGAACGACAGGCGTGTGGCGCGCGTCCTGGGCGGCTGGGCCAGGGCCAGGGCGGGGGCATGGCTGCGTTTGCCCGCACGTTCTGCAGACCATCGGGGACACTGGGGTTGTTGTCCGACCTGTCTTTTCCACCCTTACACTCCTCACCTTCATGTGTTTCCGCCTCACTAATCTTTAGTAACTGATGAAGCAACAGGAAGGAAAGGGATCCCACTCGGTGGAGCCAGGCCCGCGGGTCTCTCCGGGTGGGTCCACTCGCTGCCGGACGTGCAGGCGGGGCTTGCCTGTTCCTCCATCCCCTTCGCTAGAGCAGGACTCCCCCCTCCCCCGCCCTCTCTGTCCAGTCCCAGAGGTTACAATGTTGCATGTTTCAGGTTGAAGAAGACTCTGAAGGGAGAAGAAAGTTCTGTTGGTGACTATGTTGTAAATTGTGTGTACCTTACCAAAGTAGCTTAATGCAACATTTAATGGGTCCATTTTGGAGATTCATATCAGCCTTCCGAATAAGATTGTAAGGCTGAAGAATTCTGATCACCATATAAAACTTTTGGAAACCTGTTGGAAACGTAAACATTTAGTGAGCCAAGGGTGGGGTTGCATAGAGGTGGGATGTGTACCCTTTAACAAGTTTGCAAGGGTGGAGACAGCCTCAGAGGGTTTGGTTTCTTCATTATGGAGGGCATTGCTAAGGCTGTTCAGGACATGGGTCTTGCCAAGTTCAAAAGGAGGGCTGTGTGTGATCACGCAGAACATACAGAAAACACGAGTGATTTTCTAGAAGCTGAGATGAGCCCCAGGCTGAAAAGCCTCCAAAGAGACGAACAGGCAACAAGTTCCCCACAGGCTTTTGTTTCGTTTTTCTGATGAAGCACACTACTGAGGATCTGTGTTGTAAACACACACAGCTGCTGGTGTAAAACCCCTTTTAGAAGCGGGCACGGGTGGGGAGGGGGCCATGGAGCCTGGCAGGCGGGAGGAAGTGTGAGGTTAGAGCACAGGCAGAGCAGGGGTTGGTACCCCTGCCCAGCACCTTGGGTGGAGGCTGCTCCAGCCCCTTGGAGCTCTCCCCAGACAAGTGTGCATCAACTCCTCCGGTGCCCCTGTCCTGAGAATCCTCTCCCTTCGTGCTCACCATCACCCCTCACTATCCCCTATCCCGCCCAGTGCCCGGGGTCTGCACAGCTGTGTCACCAGCCAGAGTCCCTGGATTCTGAGACCAGAGCTCTGGACAATCGGCTCTCATGTTTGGAGCTCGTCAGTTTGGGTTGCTTCAAGACCCCTGCCTTTCCCCCTCCACCTATGCCAAGAGTCCCTTTACTATAAATAGTATATTGAGATGTACAACTTGACCTCTAACTTCTACCTTGAAGCCGGTAACAGAAAGAGAATGGAGCCTGTTTTCTGAGTGTTGGGAGGGGGCAGAACCTCTGCCTCCCCTCTCCCCTACTCTGCTGGCAAACCTCCTCCTACCCCCAATTGTGGGAAGATCCTTTATTCTTGCTCACAAGGTCAGTGGAGGTGGCATTTTACTCCTCTCTCTCTCTCTCTCTCTCTCTCTCTCTCTCTCTCTCAAGAATAGAGGCTTAATAACTCACTGCAGGTTAGTTCATCTTAATTCTAGACCGAATCTCCCCAGAACAGTGTTAATTGCATGAAAATTTTATGCATGCGCTTCTCCTTTTTATCGGGATAGAATCTGCTCTGGAATGAATGGATTAACCCCAAGTTCACTTATTTGGAAAGGTGTGTGGAGGTCTGTCTTCTCTCACCTGAACCATTTGCACAAATCATACCATCTCAACAGAAAATACAAATTCTTTCTTCACCCGGAGGGAAGTGCTTTTAAGCTGGACAACAATTAGAATAATCGTGTTGACCATTTAGGGAAGATGTGACAGGGGGCACAGAAACTCCCCCCTGGAACCTGCAATTGATGTTCCCTTCTGTTTCCTACATCCCAGGACAAGTTCGATGTCCCCTCCATACCCGATCTCAGAAAAAAAGAAAGGGAGCAAAACCCCTATGGGGAAGTCAGTTTGAGCGCTATTTTGAGCATTTTAGTAAGGTAGTGACACATTATTTCGTTTCTAAATATTTCTAACGATTTTCTGCTCCTGTGTAAGATAATGGAGTGAAGAGATTGCGGGGGGGGGGGGGGGGGTGGAGAGATGGGGTGGGGGATGGGGAAGGCGGTTTTGATAAAGGGTTTGTTGCTCACGGGAGAGGAACACTATTTCTGCAGACTCTCAAAGCCAATTTTTTTTTCTTTTTTTCTTTCTTCCTTTCTTTCCTTTCTTCTTTTTATTTTTTTAAATGAGGGTCTGGTTTGGACGACTTTGTCCGTCTCCCAGTATCGAAGGCATTTGCTCCGGACTAGTCTTGCCTTCGGTTTTGTTCGGAGAAAGCGCCCCCCTCCCCCTGCAGAACTGCCCAGTTTCACAGTAAACATGACCAAGGGGCTCAGCACTTCTTAATATAAATAAACGGGCGACTCTGGAAGGGTCTAAGTTGGGGGAAAGCCTGCGCGTCCCATTTTTTCCTGAGGTTCCTGGACATCAGTTCTTTGAGTGGGTCTGGCCGTCGGATCGCCGAAACCCTGCACTCATTAAAAGCACATATTTTAAATTAAAGGGGCACACGGGGAGCCTGCCAGCGGCTCATCCTCTCCAGTGGTCTTTCCTTTCTTTCCCCTGTCCCTGGCGCTTCCTGTCCCGGCTCCCACCGGCCTCTTCCCCAGCCGCTGCTCTTGAACTTGGTTCTGGTGGAGCAGAGCATGGGCTCCCGACCCCAGGCAGCTCTTCCCAAAGCCAGGTAAGGGCGAAGTGTGTCAGGGCCCTGGCGGGTCCCCACCAGCCTTGGTTGCTGCACAGCCTCAAAACTGGGGTCCGGGAAAGGTGGGGACGCACTAGAGACCAGGGGACACGAGAGGGCAAGGTGTGGGGAACCTAGATTTGCCACCAGCTGGAGACTTTCACCTACAACGAAGGCTATTTAGAAGACGACAGGGCAGTGTGGGGGGGGGCACAAAAATGGGGGTGCCTTGGAGGCCAAGGTCACTGTCCGGCCGCAGGGGCCTCTGTCGGGCGCGCGGTGCTGTGCCCTGGCTTGCAGACCAGAACTTGACCTCCCCTGGGCCCCAGCTCCAGGGTGGGCGACCCAGGACCCCTGCCGGCCCGGCCCGGGAGCCAAGGTCATGGTCTCGGGGCTGGGCCTGGGCCCTTGCCCGGGAGATATTGATCGAACCTCTGGGTGGTGGCGGCGGAAGGCCACGTGCGAGCGGAGGGTTGGGCGGTCGCCGCAGGCCAGGCAAGTCGGAGGGAGACTGTCCGGGAAGCGCCGACTCCTGGCGCCCAGCAGGCCGACTCGGTGCGCCCGGGGCCTTCTGGGTGGCGGAGCCCAGATGCCACTGGACCCAGAGCGCCGCGGGCCTGCGGGTGTCCTGTGGCTGCTCTGGGCGCGGCCCGGCTCAACCGCAATGTCCCACTCGGCTGTTAGGCAAACCCGCATGGGAAACTCAAGCTTCCGCTGGTGGGTGGCAGCAACGCCAGCTTCCAGCAGAGCCCCCCCCCACTCTGTCCCCTGTGGTGGGGTGCCTGCTCCCTCTGCTTTCTCCCTGTGTGTCCTAACCCTCCCCGGAAGTGGCAAACTGCAGCCTGGGAGGGGGCCGCTGGGGCTGCGCTCTCCTCCGGCACCATGTTCCTGCTCCGGGCCCAGGGAGGGACGAGGTGCTGACGGCCCTGCAGTGTCCCTGGAGTTCAGGGCGGGGTCTCCCCTCAGAGAAAGGCGCCTCTCCAGTTGGGATTGCAGAACTGCCGGGGGGCTGGACTGGAGAGGCTTGGGAAGGGTTAACTGTGGGCGCCCAGCTCCAAAGCAAACCCCACGTTCCTTCCAGGGCAGGACGCATTCCCAGAGTCTGCAGTCCCAGCCCGGTGTGTCCTGTGCAGGCGCTGCCGCGGGGCCTGGCCTGGCTGCCTTCTGGGAAGACCAGCAGCTTGCTCTGGGGAGCTGGCCTTTTACAAAGACCAGGCCTTGGGAACTGAGTCCATTTCAAGGAGAGAGATGAGACCCCGCCCTCTAGCCCCCCCCAAATAGAATGCAGGCATCTTGGTATTAAGTGCCAAAGGAGAACCAGCAAACACCATTTTCCCTACTTCTCCTGTGGGATCACTGGTGGGCGTGGGATTCCCAGGCTGTGGGGGCGGCTGTGCCTGGGCTCACTTTTGCAAGCAGCCCGACGTGCTGGGAAGAACCGGTTCCCTGCTTTCTTATTTCCCCACGTGCACAGAGCTCTCTGTGTGTCCATGCCCAAGGCACAGTCCTCCGGGGACATCTTCAGGGGCAACGTGCTGCCTAAAGTTCGGTGGAAGTGGGTCCCTGCACGGGGCACTTTTGGTTTATTCAGTTCAATTAAAAGTGAATTATTTTCAAATGGCCTACTTACCAGCTTTCCTCCTGCCGCCAGGAAACACCATCCTTCCCCTTCATCACAGGTGGAAATGACATCTTTAGGGTCCTCCATTATGTCTAAGCCACCTCCTGACATTCTTAGGAGACGACGTTTCCCCCTTACGTATCAGGATATTTTTGTTATGAGGTATACCGAGATGAAACAGAGCTGGTAAGAGCCCTGGCCTCGCAATTAAACGGACTCTGGATACCAGAGTGAAAATAATCATCTGGTATTAATCAACTTATGTCTCTGCTTCTTGTTGAGGGGAAATATAGTGACGATTTGCTTTCCTTTTCATCTGAAAAGGACTGTAAAATGTTGAACGTTCCATAAAATCTCTCTCCCCTTACGAGACAGTTTCTGCTCAGTTAATCAAAGTGCATATTTTCACACTGGACGCCGTGACATCAGAGAAAGCCGGCCACAGCGTCTGACAGTGTTTGGAAGCAGCCCCCACAGCCCTGACCTTGCGCATCACATCAATCTTGACTAATACCATTGTCATTACTATTATTATCTGAAGTGTTAAATTGTGGCCAAAATCAATACAAGTCTACTTCTTTGAATATATTTTATCCACTGTTGTTTTTAACATCTTTGTTAAGAAGCCAATTAATTTCCAACTCAGCTCCAGTGAAGTTGTAGAAGAAGGGCTTCCTGACACTTTTTTTGGGGGGCGGGTTGATTTATTTCTCCTTTCAAAAGAAAGAGGAAGGGAGACAAAGGACACATGAAATAAATAATTTGATGTTTAACGTGATTGAAATTATTCCTGAACCGATGACAGCAAAACTCCGACTGCACATCGCTGTCGAGCTAATACCTGTTTAATTTCTTCTTCCCAGCCGGCGACCGGGACTCGCTTTTCCCGTCGGAACGTGCGTCTTAGCCAGCCCTCCACAGTCACCGAATGAGAGGGGTTTTCGGAGGACGCCATGAGGGCCTTATTGAGAACAAAACATCTTACTGTACTTTTTGTTTGATTGTTTTCTTCTAGATTTGTGGGTGTAAATGCCTCCGACATCAACTACTCAGCCGGACGCTATGACCCTTCGGTCAAGACCCCCTTCGACGTGGGTTTTGAAGGTGTGGGCGAGGTCGTCGCCTTGGGCCTCTCGGCGAGTGCCCAGTACACAGTTGGCCAAGCTGTGGCTTACGTGGCCCCAGGCTCTTTTGCCGAGTACACAGTGGTGCCCGCCAGCATTGCCACGCCGGTGCCCTCCGTGACGCCCGAGTACCTCCCCCTGCTGATCAGCGGCACCACAGCACACATCAGCCTGAAAGAGCTCGGCAGGCTGAGGGAAGGGAAGAGCGTGTTGGTGACAGCGGCCGCGGGGGGGACAGGCCAGTTTGCTGTGCAGCTGGCAAAGAAGGCCAGGTGCCACGTGATTGGAACTTGCTCTTCCGACGAAAAGGCTGCTTTTCTGAAATCTGTGGGCTGCGACCGTCCCATCAATTATAACAGTGAGCACGTGGGTACTGTCCTGAAGCGGGAGTACCCCGGAGGTGTGGATGTGGTCTATGAGTCCGTGGGGGGCGCCATGTTTGACTTGGCTGTGGATGCCTTGGCCACCAAAGGGCACCTGCTCGTCATTGGCTTTATCTCCGGCTACCAAACCCCCACTGGCCTTGCGCCCGTGAAAGCAGGGACGTTACCGGCCAAACTGCTGAAGAAATCCGCCAGCATCCAGGGCTTCTTTCTGAACCATTACCTCTCTGAGTACCGAGCATCCATGGACCACTTGGTCAAGATGTATACAAGCGGGGACCTGGTCTGCCAGGTGGACCTGGGCCACCTGTCTGCCGAGGGCAGGTTCACCGGCCTGGAGTCCGTATTCCGGGCTGTCGATTATATGTACATGGGGAGAAACACTGGGAAAATTGTAGTTGAATTACCTCACTCTGTCAACAGCAAGCTGTGAGAACAGAGTAATGGGATCAATCAAAGGGGAAAGAAAATGGGTACTTGAGGCTTCAGAATTACTCAAATCAATTTAGTTTTAGTCAGTGATGGAGATCATCTTCCTGTAAACGAAAGTAAGGTGTTTGCACGTAGGTTTCTCTGCTTCCCTTTTGTCTTCTTCTACCCCTCCCTTGGGGAAAAAAAAAAAAAGGTGACAATAAAACTTCCCTCCATGGCCCAGAGGTAAACCTTTACATTCAGCCTTTGGTCATGGACAGTCTCTTCCAGATTTTATTGTTCCTGGGAACTAAATCAATTCCTGATGCAAGAGCTGATCAAATCAGCGTGTCTCCAGCTGATGAGATTTTAAAATTGGTCTCGAAAATAGTTCACAAATTCTTTACTTTGGGACAGCTTTGTCTTAGGCTAATTAGTAATTAGTAAATGAGAGGTGTCGCAAAAATCAGCCATATTTTTGAGTCCGTGTTCTCAGGAAATGGCCTTTTCTATCCTATAAATCATTAGCCAACTTTCTAAACAAATTTGAGGCAATTCTCCCACGACTTTGATTTTATTAGCAAAACTGACTGAGTGGGCACAGATGTATTTTAAAGAAATAGCTTGTATCAGTGGGTTTTGTCCTGGCGACATTTCACTTGGAGTGGCCTTTCACTCCTCCCTAAGAAGCAAATCCGTTTGGGAGTGGGGATGACAGATTTGGGGGGGCTTTAAAAACTCAATACATGTTCAGGAAAGGTGCGTGCCCCGTCCACACTGAGAGCCCACCACCCGAGACGTGGGCTGGGCCAGGGCAGGCCGCGCCGGGCACCGCGGGAGAGGCCGGCAGACGCGGTCGGTCTGGGCGGCTAGCACCCCTGCAGCTGGGCGCACAGCCGTGGACAGTGGGAGGACGTGGGTCCCCCGCTGCGGCTGCCGGCCGGAAGGCGAGTGGCAGCTCTGATCACGGCGCAGTAGCAGCGCCTGCCCCTGTGTCCGTGTACTTCCTCCCGGGGTCTGGGGCAGTGAGGGGCTCCTCGTCCCTCCCGCCCGATGTCATGCAGGAGCAGATCAAGTCCAGCGCCTTCTCTTCGGAATCACACCTTAGCTGGTCTGCCCACCTCCTCACCGGCAGCTCACCCAGGACGGCTCCAGCCTTCCTGGTGAACGTGGCCACCCCGGTGTCTTTCTCACGAAGGCAGGGCCGCCCGAGATCTCTCGGGGCCTGGGTGTCCGTGCCTCTCGGGTGCTCAGGAAGCAGGAAGACAGTTAGAGGTGGTCCCAAAACCTTGGTGACCACATTTCACTGTCCTCGCCTTCTGTCCGGGGAGCAAGGAAACCCTACTGCCCCGTCGCTGCTAGAACCTGTTTTACAAGATTTACTCATTTCCCGGCACGCGTGTAGCTGCTAGCACGCACAACAATACAATTTATATGGTAAATGGGACCAAATCACGGCTTCACTGAATGTTATGGTTGCACTGAAGGGAGATGTCACGGTAAATAGCTGCCGAATTATGGATCATGCCGAAGTGTCACAACTGCACGAGAGACAAATGGCGCTGGAGGCCGTCGCCCCGCGCTGCCGTGAGTTATGGGGAAGGGTCGCAGCCGGATGCAGGCTCTTTGTGTCCTCGTCACAGCAAAGGGTTACCAGAGCCGGGACGCGGGGAGCGGTCCAGTGCGGGGCTCGGTTATTGATGTGTCCCTTTCAGACCTCACGGCTGTGGCACCGCAGAGAGGGACCCGGCCTGGCTCTCAGAGACACCAGCGCGCGGGGAGGGGCGGTCGTGAGTGGAACGGCACCGGAAATGGGGGCGCCGGGAGCTCCAGCGGCCTCATCAGAACCTCGGCACCTGGACCCCAGTGCGTCTGAGGCCCCGCGCGGGTGCGTGAAACCTGAGCAGCAACCCACACCTCCCTTTGTCAAGCCCGGGGAAGGACCTGGCCGACCGAACAGCCTCCGAGCCGAAGTGTGTCCCGGTTTCTTTCACTTTAACGGGAGGGTGAAAGGGTGACAGGTTAGTGATGGATCCCTTCAGCTGCAGAATAGAGATTTACTGTGTTGGGAAGGAATACACTAAATTCAGCGATGTAAAAAAAAAAAAAAAAAAATTCTTCCAAACACCCAGGTTTGAAATAACATCTAATCTGAAACCCTCCCGCGCTCTCCCCAAACGAAGGGACGACAGCGTGGGCTGTTTGCATTTAATCCCAGGAAACAAGCATGAAAGAGTCCGCCCATTCAGATAATGCCAAAAAGATGTTTGAAGTGTGTGTGTGTGTGTGTGTGTGTGTGTGTGTGTGTGTTTATTCTTCTGAAAAATGATTTGTAAATTGAGGGTCAGAGTTCAGCAGTTCCGTCTTCTGGGATTATCATTCACGACCGGCCTCTAATGGGAGGTGAAACAGGCCGACGGGCTGCACACCTTCCTTCTGAACGGTGTTACATATCACAGGAGTACATCCCCACGCAGGGCGATGTCAGTCTTTGTCTGAGACAGGCCGGGGCCGGGCGGGCGCGGTGGATGAATGTTCCTTGGTCCTCAGGGTGGCCTCACGGCACATCAGCCTGGAGGTCTGGGGCTGGGCAGATGGAGGGTCTGACTCTGGTTAGCAAACGGGAAGGGATTCCCAACGGCCCCTAACACTCCCCCGCGACTTCAGATTTGTTCTGCCTGCAAATGCGAGGGACTGTGTCATTTCAGACTCCTTGGACGATGACTTCTGCTATTGACTGATGTCCGCATTAAAAAAAAAAAAAACCAGAATCGTTTACAAAACAACAGCACACATTTTGCCCGATAGGCTCTACGAACGGTTATTGTATGGTTTCCTCCGAGCGGGGTTTCTCAGGAGCGGGACTGGGCTCTGCAAGTGGAATTACGTTCAGTATTTATCTAATGAACGCGCGGCGACAAGTAGCTGCTCGTGATTAAAACGCAAACCCTGCACCATGTACTTAAGGAACATCCCTGCTAATGAGAATGTAATGTCCTCACACAACACAGGCTTCATTTTGTGTCTGCTGCCATGAGAGCTGGAAATTTGACAAATGATGTCATTTAAGACACATGCCTGCCATGGGGACCTGCTTTTTGGCTTCCTGTTCTGGCTTTTATTTGGTTAACATTTCTAATGGCCACCCGACATGTAGCGGGTCACGTTTTAACCCCTTCCTAGAATCTCCAGTGAGTCCGAATGGACCGGCCTTCGAACCGGGGTAGGGGGTGCTCAGTACCGAGGATGTTTCTTAACCGCTTCACCACAAGGACATGTGGGATAAATACCATCTTCTAGATTTATATAAAAACAGATGAGCAATGTGCAATGTTCAGAAAAAAACAGGAGACAGACAGGGCCAACGCCATCCGGGCGGGGGATGATTTGCTCACGGCCGGCGCGAGTTCCGGGATGCGGCCCAGTGCGCGCGGCCGCCGTGACGGCCTTGTCATTCCTGCTCCCTGGACCTCCCAGTCTCTGGTCACTAAATGGTCTCGGTGATTTACGGTCCTTATTGAAAGACAACGTTGATCTATGCAGACATCATTAGTTAATTTGGTGGATTTGGGGAGGGTTTTGTTTTTTTTAAGTTAGATTTTATGTAACTCATTTTTAGTGATGGCCCAGAACAAAAGAGAGAGTGTCCTGTTTCTGAGGTCAAAACGCAGAACTCCAGAGTATCAGTGCTGTCGGGCATTCGCGACTTCAAATCCTTTTTCACTAGACCTTTACTGTGATATTATTTCCACTTATAAAAGGAGGAGGGCCCTGGCCGGTTTGGCTCAGCGGTTAGAGCGTCCGCCTGCGGTCCGGAGAGACCCAGGTTCGGTTTCCGCTAAGGGCATGTACCTCGGTTGCAGTTTGTCCCCGGCCCTGGTTGGTCGTGCAGGTGGCAGCCACTTGATGTGTCCCTTTCACGTCGATGTTTCTTTCTCTCTCTCTGCCTCTCTCTCCCTCCCACTCTGTCTGTACAAAAGATGGAAAAATGTCCTCGGGTGAGGATAAAAAAAAAAAAAGGAGGAGGGTTTGATATGAGAAACTTATTACTGTTGTCTGGCCGGTGTGGCTCAGTGGTGGAGTGTCAACCCACACACCATGAGGTCACCAGTTCAATTCCCAATGCCCAGGTTGTGGGCCTGATCCCGGGGGGGGGGGGGGCATGCAAGAGGCGGCCACTCAGTGTTCTCTCTCATCAATGTTTCCACCTCTCTCTCCCTCTCCCTCAAAATCAATAAAGACAAAAAAAAATTAAAGAAAGAGAAACTTACTGCTGTTATCATGAGCAAACTACAGAACATTGGCAAACATATTTTTAAAAGTGTTTTAAAGTGCTATACAAAATACATAAAGAATATTTCACCACCATGCTTTAGTTCGAGGAATTCTTGAACTTCGAATTCTGTGATATTCCAAGAAAGTCAGACAAGGTGCATGTTTCGAAGACAGGTGCCTGCGTGGTCGGTCTCAGTCATTCGCTGGCTCTGAGTAGCCCATGCGAGGTGAAAGTCAGACAGCCGTGGCCTGGCCTGGGGTCGACGCCGTCTGAGCATCCGCTGCCCCGCAGAGGAGCCCGTGCACCCTGCCTGCTGTGTGGGCTCGAGGCATCTGAGGCTCAGCCCCTCGGGAAAGCGCCGGGGGCCCTCACGCCCCGGGTAAGTACCGCCCAGAGTACAGTTTGGGGGGACCAGCAAGTGCCTCGTGTGTGTAGGGATCCCTGAGCCAAAAGTGCAGAGGCTGCAACGGCCCCCTGAAGGAAGGACGCCTTCCCCTTGAAGGGCACTATCTGACATTGTCTTTCTGCCAACATGAAATTAAAATAATAATTAAAACACACCCTGCTGACTGGCGGTAGCATCCAGCACAGAGCACAGCGTTGTGCTTAGCGCTCAGAAAAACCTTCCACGAAATTGCCTGCTCCCCCACGCGTCCCCCCTCCGCGCAAACAGCTCCGCCGAGTCTCGGTGACTCCAGTGAAGTGTCCTCGGCCGGGGGAGGCGGAGGAGCCTGCTTCGGGAATGACGGGGACCCTGCTTTGAGGTCTCTGCCTTGCCCTCTGCCCACCCTGGGCAGTTGGCCAGCAGGAACGTGGGCCTGGGATGTGCTCTGTTCTCCTAAATGAGGAGACTCCACTGTCCTTCCCACGGTCAGATTTGGGGTTTAAGGGACATCTAGTTCCACCCATTTTGCTGAGAAGGAAACTGAGACTGGGAAGAAGAGGCGCCGTGTCCGAGGCCAGGGAGCTCCCCGGACCAGACGCGGAGCTGGGGCTCGGGTCCTCTCTCCACGCACGGCCATCTCTGCGGTCCCCTCAAGTCTGTTGCTCCTCGGCACGTGCCCGATCGAAAGTGTCACAAAGAACAACCAGCCTTGTTGTAAATCTCAGGGGATGATGTGATGCCTGACCCAGGAAGGATATCACGGTTCTGACCACAAAAGTGCGCTCCACTCAGGACCCCTTTAATGCAACCCAAGTCAAGGGTCCCGAGCATCTGATTCTGTGCCGTCTCAACACCGCACAACCTTTTCCCGGGGGGTGGGGGGACACTCAGTGGAATTAATGTCGGAATGCCCGCGATTTAGTTTTAATACTACAGGGAAGGTCTCCCCTCCTATCAAAGTATCCTTGTTTGTCAAATAATGAAGACCAAATAAAGAAAAGCTTTATTTTATTTTCATGTGTTGAGTGGGGTTTTTGGCCAAGAGTGACTGTATCTGC